TGCTATTTCCTTCTCCAGAGGATCTTCCTGACCTAGGAATCAAACCCGGGTTTCCTGCATTGTAGACAGACGCTTTACCCTCTTAGCCACCAGGGAAGCCCTGTCTGAACCACCTATGTAATAGCAGCACTATTTACAATAGCCAAGACGTGGAAACAACATAAATTTACACCAACAGTTTAGTGGACAAAGAAAATGTGGCATATATACATACATATATATATATATGATAGAATACTGCTCAGCCATAAAAAACAAATAATGCCATTTGCAGCAACGTGGATGGACCTAGAGATTATCATACTCAGCAAAGTCAGTCAGAAAGATGAATACCACATGATATCACTTATATATGGAATCTAAAATATGACACAAATGAACTTATCTATGAAACAGAAACAGACTCACAGACACAGAGAACACTGGTGGTTGCCAAGGGGGAAAAGTAATAGGGAAGGGATGGATTGGGAGTCTGGGATTAGCAGATGTAAACTATACACACACACACATATATATAAAAAACTGAACCACTTTGCTATACATGGGAAACTAATACAATATTTCAAATCAATTATACTTCAATAAAATAAATTTTTAAAAAATTATAAATATTTCTTGTATGTGGATTGATATCACACCAAGTATAGAAGAACACAGAATCTGCATATTTCAAGAAACATAATTTATGTAAAAACACACAAGCATGTTCAAATATTTGATATATCCCTGGTGGTCTAGTGACTAGGATTCAGTGCTTTCAAATATTTGGTATAAATAGAAATGGTTGTTTAAATTGTTGACTTGGGCTTTAGTTGGGAAAAAAAAAGAGTCCTGTTATTATCTTGTAGATAACCTGATAGTACAGTGTATTGTGTTAAAATACATAAAAATTTAAGTGGCAATTTGTATAATCCTATTCTGGCATTATTTTCACTTTATAATATACTAAGAGCCTCAAAAATTGCCATTGGCCAGGCCATGATGGCTACCCACCCCACCAGCCCCACTGGAGTCACTTTCCCCTTCCCTCCTCTCAAGGACTCCTCCCCAGAGACCATCTCCACCCAGCCTCTGCTGGGGCTTCCCTTCCCAGTGGATCCTCTTCTTGCAGGAATTTTCCAGCTCTTTAGCTCATTACACAGTCTGGTTCACCACTGTCCCCCTACCTAGCTCACAGTCCAGCCCATAGTAGGTGTTACAGACTGAACTGTGTGTCCCTAGATTCCTACGTTGGAGCCTTAACCCCCAGTGTGACAGTATTTGGAGACGGGGACCTTTGCAAGTAAGCCATGTTAGATGAAGTCATGAGAGTGGTGTACCCATGATGGGTGAGATTAGGGCCTTTATTAAAAGAAACCAGGGAGCTGCTATCTCTCTTTGCTGTATGAGGACACGGCAATAGGGTGGTGTCTATAAATCAGGAAAAGAGACCTCACCAGAAGCCAACCATGCAGGCACCCTAACCTTGGACTTCTAGCCTCCAAAACTTTGACAAAATTAATTTCTGTTTTCAGCTGTGCAGTCTGCAGTACTGGGAAATCAAGCCAAGTAAGATCTTAGGTACTTGACTGAATAAACAAGCAATATACAAACCTGGAGAGGACAAAGTACTTTCACAGGATTCACTCTTTGCAAGGATCCCTCTCTGCTTCAACTCCCCTTGATTTCCTAGCGAAAGTGTTAGTTGCTCAGCCGTCTCTGACTCTCTTTGACCCCGTGGACTATAGCCTCTGTCCATGGGACTTCCAAGGTAAGAATACTAGAGTGGATTGCTATTTCCTCCTCCAGGGGATCTTCCTGACCCAGGGATTGAACCCCGGTCTCCTGAGTTGCAGGCAGATTCTTTACCATCTGGTCACCAGGGAAGCCCCAAAGCACACATCTGATGAAGGTGGGATTTGAACTCATGTATATAGAGCACAGTGAACTAGCAGCTTAACCCCTTGGCCTTAACCATTAGGCAACCCTGTCCTCATTGATTTCTAGTGTTTCACAAAACCTGAGATGTTTCCAGGCCAGTGACACAAAATCAGTTTGGGTCCTTGGGGTCTGGTAAATGCACCTTGAATCACTTGGTGGTGGGCTTGTCCAGTACTGAGCTCATCCGGATTCTGGAGCCCCTTTTGGATTCACTGCAAGGAATGCTGTGATTGATTAGCAATGCCTGTCATGACTGTGGGTGGGCTAAGTGGAGGCATCCAGGCCAATCCTGACCCAGAAGCTATTGCTTAGGGTGCAATTAGGCACAGGCACTAAAAAGCAGAGACATTACTTTGCCAACAAAGGTCTGTCTAGTCAAAGCTATGGTTTTTCCAGTAGTCATGTATGGATGTGAGAGTTGGACTATAAAGAAAGCTGAGCGCAGAAGAATTGATGCTTTTGAACTGTGGTATTGGAGAAGACTCTTGAGAGTCCCTTGGACTGCAAGGAGATCCAGCCAGTCAATCCTAAAGGAGATCAGTCCTGAATATTTATTGGAAGGACTGATGCTGAAGCTGAAACTCCCATACTTTGACCACCTGATGCAAAGAACTGACTCACTGGAAAAGACCCTGATGTTGGGCAAAGTTGAAGGCAGGAGGAGAAGGGGACGACAGAGGATGAGTTGGTTGGATGCCATCACCAACTCAATGGACATGAGTTTGAGTAAGCTCCAGGAGTTGGTGATGGACAGGGAAGCCTGGCATGCTGCAGCCCATGGGATCGCAAAGAATAGGACACGACTGAGTGACTGGACTGAACTGAACTGAATGAGGCACAGGCAGCTGGTACCAGCACAGGCACCGCCTCTAAGCAGTGTAATTTTGTGGTTCCACCCTCAAGGGGTTCCCAGCTTCTGCAGCTGCAAGAAGAGGAAGAAAGAGCATGGTGGGTGGAGGAGAGGCTAAGAATCTGCTGCTCAGATGACCAAGGAGTCCCCTGGGTCAGAACAGCCTTGAGCTGGAAGCAGTCCATACAGGTATAGCACGGCATGCATGATGGTGCCTCTGACAGAAGGTGAATTCCATTCCACAAATACTCATTTAACACCTTTCACAATATGTGCTCAATACATGCTAAGTCGGTTCAGTCATGTCCAACTGCTGATGACGTCATGGACTATAGCCTGCCAGGCTCCTCTGTCCATGGGATTCTCCAGGCAACAATACTGGAGTGGGTTGCCATGCCCTACTCCAGGGAGATTTTCCCACCCCAGGGATCAAACTTGAATCTCTTTAAGTCTCCTGCATGGGTAGGCAGGTTCTTTACCACTGGTGCCACCTGGGAACCCCCCACTTTTCACAGGCCCAGCATTGTACTGAGCACCATGAGGACCCAGAAACATCCGAGTCCTGTCTTTGAGGGGCCAACAGTCCTCCCAGGAATGTGACTGGCCAGGTGATGTGTACAGGTGGTCCAGGAAAGGAGGTTGGGGAAGGGATGGCATCCAGATACTAAGAGACAGCTGTGATGTCCAGTCAGGAGGGCCTCCTGTGACAGCTCAAGGGGAGCTGGGGCTGCAGGGAGCAAGGAAGAGGCTTGCCCTGGGGCCTGGGAGTGAGGCCACTGACTCTGCTGTGCAGAGCTAAGGGCAAGAACATGGGCCCTGCGGAAAGGACCCAGGGCCAGCCCGTGGGGGTCACAAGGAGCAAGACCAGTGCCCAGTAGAGCCCAGATCCTTGACAGAGCAGGGTAACTGCTGACCAGCTGGGCCTCTGCCTCAGGCCCCAGCTGGGCCTCTGCCTCAGGCCCCAGCTGGGGAGCCTTATCCAACAGAGGTGGGTGAGGGGACAGGTGCCCCATGGCCAATGGGGGGACAGGCACCCTGCAGGCCCCAGCAGCCAAAGCTGCTAGGGAAATGAGGACAGAGTGCAAGAAGCGTAGGGCAGGACATGCTGGGTGACAGGAACTCCAGAAACCAAAGCTCAGAGGCACAGAAAACACATCAGATGCCTGACCTGCTGGAGCAGAGGGACGGGGCTGGGGAGAAGAGGCAAGCAGAGGGCGGAGGGCAAGTCACATGACCGAGCGCTTAGCAGCCTACCGGAGAGACCAGATACCACAGCTGGTGGAACTGGATGGCTGGGGGTCAAGTCCTGCCTCTTCCTCTTTCCAGCTGTGCCACTTCAGGCAAGTGACTTAACCTCTCTGAACTCTGGTCCCTCAACTAGGGATGACAATGGTACCCACCTCACAGGCTTGTGGTAAGGATTGAGTTACACAGTATGCAGCACAGAGAGCAGCGCACTGACATGCAGCGCGAGGTAAAGGTCTACAAAGGTTACAGTTATGGAGAGTAACGCAGTCTGAACATCAGCCAGTGTTTCCCAGATTGCTTCCCACGGGATCCTCAACTAAAAGGTACTTCCATCAGAAAATTCTTACAGCCCCATTTGGAAAACGTCTCCTCTCATATCCACATCAAGGTCTGACAAGTCCATAGTGAGAAAAACAAAAAAAAAAACCCTAACTTTATTTAGCCCAGTGTTTCCCAAACCTAGTGGATCATGGAAACCTCTGCATACCTTCGGGGACAGTGCTACACAGCCCACCAATCTGGAAAGTGCTGTGTGGGAGGGCAGTAGGGGAGTCTATGCAAGTGGAGGAAAGCATCTCCAGGAGAAGCCACGTGGCAGGGGTTAAGCCAGAGCGAGATTCGCGTGCCCAGAGAGGGGAAGGGAAGGAGGCGGCTGAAATGCCAGGGCCGAGGGCCCCGGAGCAGAAGGGGAGCTCAAACAGGGGAGACCCAGGGCACGGGGGACAGAGAAGACAGAGGAGGCAGAGGTGGCTCTGAGCATTCACATTTGAGGGGGTAGGAAACACGAGAGCAGAAAGGGGGTGAAGGGTGGGGGGCACCCATCATTCCTCCCAGTCCCTGGTCACCCTTCCCGATTTGTGCCTGAGGTGGTCTAAGCCCTGTGGCTTCCCCCAGGAGAGGGGGGCCTGGAGAGAGAAGGGTGGCAGCAGCTGCTTCCTGGAAGAGAATAACGCCCAGAAGACACAGAGATGTGCTGTCCCCGCTACGCACAGATCGTGTGATTATAGAACCGACAGCAGTTGTCCAGGGCCGCTAGGCTGAACTCCGGGCCGGTGCTGAAAAGAAGCAGAATTTGTAGTCTGTGCTCCAGGCCTGGGCTCTGCTGACCACTAAAGGCTGAGCAACTTCAGGGAAGTTGCTCCATGTCTCTGGTCCTAACTTCTTCTAAGTTTGGTCCTCAGGCCCCGCTTCCTCTTCCGTTGGTTACATCAGCCACAGCCATAACACTTCTACCCCCTTGCTCTGGTACCAAAGGCCTCCCCCACCCCAGGTACTCGGGTCTCTGTGCCCCATCACTGTCAGCACCCCACCCCTGGCCCAGGCACTCACCTCTGGAAGGCCTGGTGGCAGCACTGGTACACCTCAAAGCTGCTGCTGTTGAGGGTCGTGTTCAGGAGGGACACACAGTCCACCGCAGGGCCCCTGGGCATGTAGAGGATCCCTGTGCGGAGAAAGCAGCTAGTGGGCAGGGTCCAGCCCCTTACTATCCCCTGCAACCCCACCCAAGGACTGCCGGAGAGGTTGGGGCCCCAGTGCCTGGCCCTGGACTGAGTCCTGAGCCCACCAGGCCTGCACTCACCGGCCACACAGGCATTCACCAGAGACACACAGGCCCCCGTGCAGAGCGCCCGGAGCACGATCTGGGAGAAGTCGCTCTTCCGCTGGGGAGCCATGGAGGCTGCAGGAGGACAGGAGGGCTCAGGGCCAGGACTCCGCAGGCCCCTCTTCCTCCTCTCTGCGTCTCTGGCTGCATCTGCTGACCCCCCTTCCTCTTCTGGGGGGTCAGAGGAGCAGACGCTGTCCTCCTGAGGCTTGTTGAGTCTGAGAGTCCTTCTTGGCCTGACTAGGTAGTGTTCCACACCTCCCCACGTGCCATCAGCGGCAGGTGTAGGGAAAGAACATTGAGTTTGGAGTCAGGCAGACCCGGGATTAAACACAGGTTCAGCCACTTATTAGGCTTCCCTGGTGGCTCAGATGGTAAAGAAATCTCCTGCCTGCAATGCAGGAGACCCAGGTTGTATCCCTGGGTCGGGAAGATCCCCTGGAAAGAGAATGGCAACCCACTCCAGTATTCTTGCCAGGAGAATTCCATGGCAAGAGGAGTCTGATGGGTTGCAGTCCATGGGGTTGCAAAGAGTCGGGCACGACTGCACGACTAACACAGTGACAGGTAACAGCCTTAATAGCTGAGTGACTCGGGTCACATTTCACCTTTGCACGACTCGGTTTCCTTGTCAATAAAACGGGATGGTTGCACCACCAGGCAGGGGACTGTGAAGGGTGGAAAGGTTTTTTATAAAAAGCTGATAGCTCTATAGAGCCTTCATCCCCAGGCCCCACTGGACCTGTCTGTCCACTGGGGGAATAGGAACTGGCAGGTCAAAGCTTCAGCCAGGCAGCCAACACGGTACCTCCAGACCCTCCCTAGGGCCCTGAGCCAGGTTTGCCCTACGAGGCCAAGGTGCTGACCTCCTGGGCTAACTGAGCAGCAGAGAAGTCATGAAATTCCAGGGCTGGGAGGAAGTTCCATGACCTCCTTGTTCATACTCTGCCTTAGACCAAGAGGAGAACTGAGGCATACAGATCCCTAGGAAGTTGTAGGTATCTGAGAGCCAGAACTGGAGACCAAGCCCCCTCAAGACCCGCCCTTTATAGGAGGCCAGGGAGGCCCCTCTAGGACTCACTCAGGCCTCCCAGCATGATCCCAATGGAGCTGAAGTTGGCGAATCCACAGAGAGCATACGTTGTGAGGATTTCTGCTCTGACCTGAGGAGGCAGAAGATGAGAGGTGATGGGCTTCCCACGGGGATGTGCTCAAACCACCCCAGGCATGCTAAGTCGCTTCAGTCGTGTCCAACTCTTTGTGACCCATGGACTGTGGCCCCCCCAGGCTCCTCTGTTCCAGGCAAGAATACTGGAGTGGGTTGCCATGCCCTCCTCCAGGGGATCTTCCTGACCCAGGGTGGAACCTAAATTCAGCTTCTCCATCAGGAATGTGGGAATAACAGTATCTGACTGAGGATTGTCATAGAGATCATATCATGTATAGGAAGAACTAGGCATAGATTAGGTATTTATTTCTTTTTCTATATTAATTTCAGATTTTATTTAATTTTTAACTTTTTGACCAGGCCACACAGCTTGTGTGATCTTAGTTCCCCAACCAGGGATTGAACCCGTGCCCCTGCATTGGAAGTATGGAGTCTTAACTGCTGCATCACCAGGGAAGTCCCTAGAGTAGGTATTTAAGCAACATAACTCTCTTTCCCTTTTGCTCTGAACAGTTGTGTAATTTCCTAGAAGTACTAAGAGCCAAAATGGAACAATTTGGGGGAAAAAAAAAGATAGGCTTAGACCCATACCTCACACCATATAAAAAATTTAATTCTAGATCATTAAAGCAGATAAATATTAACATTTTAAACATTAAATATTAGAAAATATAGGATAATAATATTATTGTTACAGAATAGCCTTATTGCTCTCATCCTGGAGAGGAGCAAACTTCTAGGAGTAGAAGTGACTGAAGAAGTTCACACAGCAAAAAGGCAGCTGTGTCACAATTTGAACTCAGTTTGGTCTGACTCCCAAGAGTGCCCCATTTTAACTACTTCATCATACTGTTTCAGGAACCTAACCCTTACCAGGTTTCTGGAATGGAGGTAAGTCTCTAAATTTAGAAATAATATAAGAAATGCAAAGATTTGGTATAAATTTATATTTTTAAAAAAATTCCTGAATATGGAATGAATGGAAAGGAAATAAAAAAGACAAGGAAAAATATATGTAGAAAATGTGGGACTTCCCTGGTGGTCCAGTGGTTAAGATTCCATGCTTCCAATGCAAGCAGTACAAGTTTGATTCCTGATTGGGGGGCTAAGATCCTACATGATGCGTGGCGTGGCCAAAAAAATTTAAAATAGAAAATGGAAAAGAGTTAATGTCTTTATAACGTACAGCGTTTTTATAAATCAACTTAAAAATATTAGGGTATTTGCATTCTGCTTACTCACCTACAATCACCCTCCAAACAGCAGCCCAAGTAATGCTAAAATGTCAGAAGTCAAATCTTCAGTAACTTCCAACTGCTCTTTGGCCTGGGTCACCCTGTTACAATTTCCACTTGTTCCAAGTGGACTTTTCTCACTTCTCCAAACCAGTGCTTTGGGCAACCTCAGAGCCTTTGTATGTACCTCTTTCTTTGCCTGGAATGCTAATCCCCATTTCTTCTGGCCTCTGCTCCTCCCTCCAAGTCTTGGTCTAAGTACCCATCTTGGGGGGGGGGGGGGACGCTTTCTTTGGCCGCAATGTGTGGCACGTGGAATCTTAGTTCCCTGTCCGTGGATAGAACCTGAGCCCCCTTCAGTGGAAGCGAAGAGTCTTAATCACTGAACCACCAGGAAGTCACTAGGGAGGCCTTCCCTGTCCAGTCAGTCCTGTCTAGTCAAGGATAGACCCCCTCCCTGATTCCTCTTATTGTTTCCATCATAGAACTTACCACAGATTGTGGTTTAAATTTTTTTATTCCTTTGTTTTCTTGTGTCTTTCACTAAATGTAAGTTCCATGTCACCAGGGACCATGTCTGTCTAATCCCCCTTTTTATTCCTGGCACCCAGCAGAGGGCCTGGCACCTCAGAGGTCTCAACAAATACTTGCTAAAGGAATGAAGCTCATTGAAAAAGATCCTGAAGGCACATGTGTATGTGTGTGCTCAATCACTTTAGTCATGTCTGACTCTGAGACCCCATGGACTGTAGCCTGTCAGGCTTCTCTGTCCATGGGATTTCCCAGGCAAGAATACTGAAATGGGTTGCCATTTCCTCCTCCAGGGGATCTTTCCAATCCAGGGATCAAACCTGTGTCTCCTGAATTGCAGGTGGATTCTTTACCGCTGAACCACCAGGGAAGCCCCAAGGTACATACTGCCACTGTCTCTAGAGAAGACAGTGAAACTGGAGCTGAAAATTAGGAGTGAGGGGAAACCTGAGCTTTTTACTCCATATAAACCTTCTTTAAAAAAAAAAAAAAGCTAAAGAGCACATTTCTTTATCATTAAAAAAATAATTTAAAAGACAAGAAAAAATATTTTATGTTAAAAATTCCTAGTAACCCAGGAAACACATTAAAACAATGAGCTATTATTTGCCCATTAAAGCAGCAAGACTTCTTTTTTTTTAAAAGAGTCTGCTCTGCCCTGTTCAGTGTGTGGTGAAATCAATGCTCACAGGCACATCTGGGGTGGTTTAGGTTGCTATAACCCTTTGCAAAAGTTACTGGCAGCACCCACATAAGGATTCATGCCATACGATTCAGTCATCCCACATCTGGCAAAGCTCCCGAGGAAACCATCAGAGAAGAGGGAAAAGTTCAGTGCAAAAGCTACTCATTTCAGCATTGGGTATAAGAGCCAAACAGTGGAATTAGATATTATATTATGTTTATATTTATTATCATACAATTAAATGTAATTGATTATATATTATAATAGCTGTCATTTGAAGATGATGATATGATGGGTATTTTTTTTTATTCTTAATCATGTTACATTGGCTGTTATTCTTTTAGAGAGTTTCATTTTAGAAAGCTTTTTATAGTTTTTTTTTTTTTAACCCTTAACTGAACAAACCAACCCCTGAGCTGAATCCCATATATTGGAGATTAATGTGGTGAGGTCTTTCTGTTTTACTCTCTTAGCTCCTTATTGGAGTCTCACACCCATTCCTTTGGAGTAGGGGTGGCAGGTATGATACTGGTTTTCCAACAGAAGAGGCAAGATGCAGCGGCTGGCCCAAGGCCACAGGATGGTAGCCCGTCTACAGCTGGAGTTCAGGTATCTTCAAGAGATAGAGAAGTGAAGTGAAGTAAAAGTCACTCACTCATGTCCGAGTCTTTGCGACCTCATGGACTATACAGTTCATAGAATTCTCCAGGCCAGAATACTGGAGTGGGTAACCTTTCCCTTCTCCAGGGGCTCTTCCCAACCCAGGGATAGAACCCAGGTCTTCTGCACTCAGGCGGATTCTTTACCAACTGAGCTATCAGGGAAGACAAGAGATAGAGAGACCTTGAGAAAGACGGCCGTGAAGCCTGAAGCTGTCTTGTTGCCCAGTGCAACGGGATGTGGGAGGTTGAGGACCACCTCCGTGTGTCTCAGCCAGGCCTGCAGGGGGACAGCTGCATCATGCCCTGACGCAGTGAGGGGACGGGGACACTCACGGAGATCCACTGCTTTTTGGAGCCGACCCACTCCTCAGTGCCCGCAAGGCGGCGCTGCTTGTACTCGGAGAGCCCCTGATAGGCCACGAACTCGTTCAGAAACAGCTTCATCCCCAGCAGCTCCGCCACCACCGAGCAGTCCTCCCAGGCCACGCCCATCAGGAAGGCCACTGGCCGCAGGATGTAGGAGCAGATGAGCTGAGGTGCAAGGCAAGAGGAGCCGCTGGGACTGGGGTTGACCTGGGCTCTGTGGGTCAGTCACCACTGGCCAGGACCACCCCCTCCGCAGGTCAAGGGGGACTGTACCTGGAAGCTGAGCCCCTGGATGTCCACCATGTTTCCCAGCCAGGAAAGGGCAGCGTTGATGAAGTCCAGCACAGCCAGAAAGGCAATCAGGTTGGCTGCGATGTTGGTCACGACCTTCACGGACAAGGCAGCGCCACTGCTAGCTGCTTCTAAGAGGTTTTGAGCATCTCTGTCAATGGAACAAAGAGATGTCATTATTGGCCTGTCTCCACAAGTTCAGGGCTCCCTGTCCTACAGACTCAAACTTGGACAGAGCATGTCAGAGCCAGGGGTCCTTGATTACACTCAAGACCAGAAAGATGCTGGTCCAAGCACTAGGATAAGACCCAGACTCCTAGCACACACATCTAAGACAAACCACGAGTTGCATGTGACTTAACAAGTACTTAGAAGGAGGCAGATCTGAATAGAGATGTGTTACAAATATACACACCAGGTTTCAGAGATTTAGTACCAGAAAATATGAAATACCTCTAAAATTAAAAAAAAAAAAGAATTTTTTAAAAAATTTATTTGGCTATCCCAAGTCTTAGTTGTGACACAAAGAATCTTTACTGCAGCATTTGGGATCTTTAGTTGCATCATGAGGGGGCTAGTTCCCTCCACACATGCATGCTCAGTCACTCAGTCATGTCCAACTCTTTGTGACCCCATGCCCCATAGCCCATCAGGCTCCTCTATCCAAGGAATTCTCCAGTCAAGAATACTAGAGTGGGTTGCTATTTCCTTCTCCAGGGGATCTTCCCAACCTAGGGATCAAACCCGTGTCTTCTGCGTTGGGAGGCAGATTCGTTAGCACTGAGCCACCGGGGAAGCCCTTAGTTCCCTGACCAGGGATCAAACCCACACCCCCTGCATTGGGAGCATGAAGTCTTAACCACTGGACCACCAGGGAAGTCCCTGAAATATTAATAATTTTTACATCAAATACACAGTAAAATGACAATATTTTAGATATATTGAGTCAAAACATCTCACTAAAATCATCTTATTAAAAAATCACCATTTTACTTTTTAAAGATGATCACTGCTACTGCTGAGTCGCTTCAGTCATGTCCGACTCTGTGTGACCCCATAGACAGCAGTCCACCAGGCTCCCCCGTCCCTGGGATTCTCCAGGCAAGAACACTGGAGTGGGTTGCCATTGCCTTCTCCAATAAAGATGATCACTAGGAAATGTTAATTATACATGTGACTCATGTAATATTCTTCTAGGGCAATGCTTCCCCAGACCTTCAGGAAGTTATGAGGTTGGGGCCGCCCATTGTATCCAAGTGCACTTGTCCAAAGTGGTGTCTTTCAATATTTTTTTAGGATTAAATGTTACACAAAGGTTGCTAAGACTGTGATGAAGAGACATTAGGAGGTGAGTGATGTCAAGGACAGCGCTCACTATGTCAATGTGCTTGATGCTGGGGTCATGTAGAGAGGTGGGGTGGTTTTCATGCCCTCCTCAGCACATATGTACACACATACACACACACACACCAGGCACATTCCACTGGTCAGAGACTGGAAAATAAGATTCGAGACCTGGATCCTGCATTTTCTCAAGGTAAGCCACAGGTAGGGCCGTGGCTGAGAGGGGAGATGGGCTGGGCTTGGTGAAAGACAGTGAAGGGCAGAGAACACAGGACTCTGCTCCTGGCCCTGCCTACCCCCCAGCGTCCTTCTGCGCAGGCCCTCTTGCTGAGCTCACCCGTAGGTCAGTTTCACGCCTTCCTTACTTCTGAACTTGGACTCCTCCACCTCTGGGTAGGCCAGCTTGGAGAGGGCTAAAGCGCAAGGAGCAGCCATCACGGAGGCCGCGATCAAGGAGGCAGCATCGATCTGCAAGAGGGAGCACAGCCAGGGTCACAGAGAGAAGTCACAGGAAACACGGAGTCCAGGAAGTGCAGCCCCAGGGAAGCAGGGGAGCATGGGACTCCACCCCACTGGTGTGTCACCATCATCGGTCCTGCTGTCACTGATACTGATGATATTAATGCATTTTATGTGTAGAGGGTCACAGTGCACTCACAGCCTGATGGGCAGGACTTCAGGAAGTTAGGCAGGGTGAGTATTGTCATCCCACTTGACAGACAGGGAAACTGAGGCCCCCAAAGGGTTAAAGATGACTTTTCCAAAATAAAGGAAGAGAAGGAATTAGACCTATTGTGTCTTTTGGCTCCAAGTTCAAGGTTCTTCCTTCTCTTCTAGGCTGTCTCTCTTTGACCACTGATCTGAGGGCTGCTTCATCACTGGCTGAGGGGCTTGTGATGATTTCTGACACAGCTCACAGAGCCCAAGAGTTGGAATTTATCCAAGATGTGACCTAATGTGACCTGAGAGTAAAGGGATGTCTTCCCTCTATAGGACCCCTCCTGTCACTTACTGTGACAGGTAACTCACCACTTCAAAACAATTCATTATCTCTACTCCTGTGGTCAGAGAACTGTTCCTTAGGAAATCTCCTACAACAGCCACCCTTTTGGCCCTGCTTCTTGTCTCCGGGAGCCAGGCTATAGAAGCGATTTGCAGCAAGATGATGGAGCAAACACAGCCCCTGGGAGTCTTCCTTCCTGAATTGTATCCTTACTGTGGGCTCAAACCCTTTGCTTCCTTCTTCTCTTCACAGAGATGGGACACTTTTTCTCCACTGTGTTATTTACCAAGTGGGAAAGTTAGAACCAACCCAAACACATAATAAGGGATTCCCAGGTGGCTCGGTGGCAGAGAATTCGCCTGCCAATCAAAGAGACACAGGAGGCTTGATCCCTGGGTTGGGAAGATCCCCTGGATCTTCAACCCAGGAAATGACAACCCACGCCAGTATTCTTGCCTGAGAAATCTCATGGACAAAAGAGCCTGGAGGGCTACAGTCCGTGGGGTCACGGAAAGTAGGACAGAACTGAGCACTGAGCACGCAAACATATAACAATGAGGGAATAGCTAAGCATTGTCAAGCTGCCATCAAAAACAATGGTTACCAAGACTTCACAATAATATGGAGAAATGCCCACAAACTTGCATATAGAGCGTAACCACAATGATAGGGGCGAAAACAAACTCCACAACTCTGCATAAAAAGAAGATTGGAAAGAAATACACCAAAATGCCAACCAATTATCTGTCCCTGGCTAGTAGGGCCAGAACAATTTTCTTGTTTTTCAGCTTTTTTGCATATTTCCTAAATGTCCACAATGATATATCTTGCTTTTATAGACAGAAAAATAAAATAGACTTCTCCTTAAAGTTGATAATAAATCAACTGCAGTTCTTAAATTTTAAATAAAGAGTAACAAAAAGACGGGAGGTAAGATTAAGCTACATGCTTAGGTTAACAAAAACAGAAGGCCAAAAAGGCCCATGGGGGACTTCCCTGGTGGTCCAGTGGCTAAGGTCCAGTGGCTTCCCAATGCAGGGGGCTCAGGTTCAATCCCTGGTCAGGGAACTGGATCCCACATGCTGCAACTAAGAGTTCGAATGCCACAACTAAAGACTGAAGATCCTACGTGCCACAATGAAGATCAAAGAGCCCGTGTGCTGCAACTAAGAACTGGCACAGTCAAATAAATAAATAAAATAAATAAATAGTTTTAAAAAAGAAGTCCATGAAGTACCAGGAACTGCTGACAGGGAACCAGCCCTGGGAGACCCTCTGAGGCTCTGAAACCCCTGTGATATCCTTCTTTTTCTAAAGCCCCTTGTTTCCTTTCAGTGGTAAGACAGTGTACCGGCTCCAGCACCCACCCCCAAACACCCATCACGGGCACTGGATGTGCCAGCCCTGCTGATCCTGTGGGAATAGCCAGCCTCAGGCAGGTGTCCTCTCTGGACTTTACAGGCTGACCTTTGGGACTTGGCTGGCCTCCTCCTCCTGGGCTGCCCAGCTGTAGCGGGCACAATGCCACCACCGGAATCTTGGGATTTTACCTCCAGCCGCCGGGACCCTCCTCTTTCCTCCAGCTTGGAGGCTGCATCTGGTTTGCCAGTTCGCGTCTCAGTGGGGAGCACACCCTGCAGGTGTCACATTCCTGGATGCTGCCCTTTGAGTGGGTCAGTTGTGGTCACTGCCTCAAATGCCCTAGGCCATCATTTCCTGCTCATCTCGGAAAGGGCTAAGTCCTGCACCAGCAGAACTCTCTGGGGCACTGGGCCAGCCCACACACTCCTCCCTGCCAGCTACTCCTCAGGACCATGACATACCCCAGCCCTGCTTCCAGACCCTGGCTCAAGAATGCCTTCTGCCCCAGCATCCCGCGGCCCACTCCCGTCCAAGGCCCTCCCTTCTCTACCCAAAGCTCTCCAATGTGAAGTGGGAGAGAGGGTAGGAACCCTCCATTTGAACTTTCAAATAGATCTTTACTGAGAAAGGAAGTAAATCCAGCCACTACAGAGCATAAGGGCTTCCCTCGTGGCTCAGCAGTAAAGAATCTATCTGCAACACCGGAGGTGGTGCAAGAGACGCAGGTTCAATCCCTGGGTCGGAAAGATCCCCTGGAGGGGGCAAGGCAATCCATTCCAGTATTCTTGCCGGGAAAATCTCACGGATAGAGGAACCTGGCAAGCTACAGTCCATGGGGTCATAAGAGTCAGACACAACTGATCAACAGAGCATGCCCAGAGCATAAAAGAGACCAGTTTCAGAAGGACTGACTTCTGACCCTAACATGTCAGAGAAAGGACAAACACTTCTTCAGTACTGTGCAGGTGTTTTCTGCCTATTGTTGCATTTGATTCTTAGACTGCCATGAGGTGGGCAGAATTCTGCCCATTTTACACATGGGGAGACTCAGGATGTGGCTGACTCTTACTTGGCCCCATTCAGAAGCCCCAGACCCTGTCCCAGGAGCTCTTACTCTTGTACAATTGATCGAGGAACATCAGTGGCCGCCCCCTCAACCCATGATGTGTTCACAGCCTGAGGCACACATCTGGATCTCCTCTCACAGTGGTCCTGAACCAGAGAAGTAGGTAAGGAAACCAGTTTCTGGGGCTAGAGAGAGAGCTCGCAGCTACTTTAGTTTTTTTGGGAAACATGCTAAAAAGGGACATGTGTGTAGAGGTCACAATTAAAGGATTCACTGAGGTCCCTTGGGACTTCAGACCAAGTCTAGACCAGTGTCATTTGATAGAAATATAATGGAAACCACACCTGTGATTTAAGTTTTCTAGCAAGTGGTCTAGTGGTTAAGAATACACCTGTCAATGCTGGGGACACGGGTTTGATCCCCGGTCATGGAAGATCCCACATGATTCAGGGCAACTAAGTCAGAGCACCACAACTATTGAGCCTGTGCTCTAGAGCCCATGATCTGAAACAAGAGAAGCCCCAACACTGCAACAACAAGTAGCCCCGGCTCGCCACAACTAGAGAAAGCCCTTGCTCAGCAATAAAGATCCAGCACAGTCAAAAATAAATATATTTAAATAAATCTTTTCTTAAAGGTAAAAAGAAATAGATGAAATTAATTTTGATGATGTATTTAATTTAACCCAATATATCTAACATATTATCATTTACCCATGTAGTCAATGTAAAACTTATCAATGAAGTAAAAAAAAAAGTATAAAAACAAAACAAAACAAAACAAAAAAACTTATCAATGAAGTAAAGTGGAGTATTAGTCCTTCAGTTGTGTCCAACTCTGTGTGACCCCATGGACTGTAGCCCACCAGGCTCCTCTGTCCATGGGATTCTCCAGGCAAGAATACTGGAGTGGGCTGCCATTCCCTTCTCCAGGGGATCTTCCCAACCCAGGGATCAAACCCAGGTCTCTTGCATTGCAGGCAGATTCTTTACCTTCTGAGCCACCAGGAAAGCCCTAGGAGTTATCAATAGAACATATTAATTGATTTTTTCACACCAAGTCTCACAGCAGACCTCATTTCAGACCTGCCACAGTTCAAGGTTCCACAGTCTTGTGCAGTTCGTGGCTACTGACTATGCTGACAGTGCAGGTCTAGAAATACCCAGCTTTTAGCAATAGGAAGATGCAGGAAGAGGGACCCAGAAGTTGAGCATCAAAGAGAAAGGAAGAGAGAGAGGCGAGATCTCTCTGGAATTCAGGGGCTAAGGGCAGAGCCAAAGACTCCATGAGGAACTGCCCGGAGGAGAGAGTAATAGGAGAGAGGGGAGAGGATGGGATGGCAGGGCTGTGGGAAGGACCCCGGTTGCTGCAGTGGCAGCCAAGAGCCAGTTGGGGACAGAAGAGAGCTTCTCTGTGGCCAGACTGGAGGCAGATCCAGAAGTCAGGGGAAGAGAAAGAGATGTAGACTAGGAGCCTTTCAGCAGGCCAGCTAGGGTGCTAGTCTGGGGCTTCCAAACCAGAGGCTGTGGATGGAGACCCGCAGCCACATGCCTGATCCAGGCGGCCTCTGCACCTTCTGTGGAGCTAAAAGGGAGTGGGGCCCCGGGCCTCTTCATTAGGGAGGCCTGCCTGCCTGGGGCTGGGCCTGGACTCTGGCCCAAGCAAGGGAAAGAAAAGAGGCTGAGTTGTAAGACAATTGTGGGAAAGCGATAAGAGTTTTTCCAGTACTTTAGTCTTAAGTAATAGCAGCAACGCTCATGCTCGTATGGTAGAAAGAACACCATTCTTTCAACTGTCTGTGGGACCCAGGACAAAGTTAAGACATTTAAAGGCTCTAAGTCTCTAACTGCCCTGGGGGTTCAGTGGTTTAGTCTGCCTGCCAATGCAGAGGACACAAATTTGATTCCAGGTTCAGGAAAATTCCACATGCCATGGGGCAACTGAGCCCATCTGCCTCAACGAGTGAAGCCCACAGACCTTAGAGCCTGTGCTCCACAGCAAGAGAAGTCACTGCAATAAGAAGTCTCCACACTGAAA